AAGAACGATTTTTCTTCTACTGCTTCTCACATTATAATAATGTGGCATAAAGACATAAGTGGACAGATATCTCATAGTTTCATCAGGAGGCAGATAGTCTCCAATACCATTTTGTCATGATTACCAGGCCACAGAGGAGTTTAGGCAACTAACCTAGGGAGCTAGGTTTGTATTTTTTCTCTTCTTTTGTAGTTACTCCATTCCAGACTAGAAGTTTGAATTTATAATTTTATTTAATTAATTTTATTTATTTATTTTTGAGACGGAGTCTCACTCTGTCGCCCAGGCTGCAGTGCAGTGGCGTGATCTTGGTTCACTGCAACCTCTGCCTCCCAGGTTAAAGCGATTCTCCTGCCTCGCCTCCTGAGTAGCTGGGACTACAAGAGCCCGCCACCGCGCCCGGCTAATTTTTAGCTGTATTTTTGGTAGAGATGGGGTTCGAATTTAAACGGTGAGCTTTTCATGGTTATTGAGTAGGAGTAGGAGGAGGGGGGAACTGTAAAGGAATGAAAAAGGAAGAGAAAACTTCTTGAACCCCTCCTACATGCCAGGAACTAATTTAGATATATCTGCAGTTATACGTGAGGAAAGCCGGAAGGTTGCATCAGGGTTATAGAACTCAAGAACCACCTTGACAGGTGAATGGGTATGGGCATTGTCTCTCTATCCAACAGTTGAGGTCAACTTTTGTTCTTTTCTTCTCACTCATAACCTCTTCAAATAGAATAAAGAGATGCATTTTCTCTGGGTTAGGCTCTCAGTTACTCTAGCTCTAAGTGCTCTGAACACCAGGAAATCACTCTGTACAGGGTGTCAGCTGGGCTTCTAGGACCCCTGCGTGTGGAGGAGTTAAGGAGAGTAACCATTTATCAATACATTTATCCACAACATTTTTATTATGAATGTGTTTATTCTGCAACTCTTTATTAAGACTGCAGAGGTGGAAATGCTATCTATCACTGTAAGACTGATAGACCTAGAGCATTGTAGGAATGTCCTGGAAAAAGAAATTGGCCTGAAGATGTTGGCATTTGTGCGGAACCTAGAAAGTCGGAGTTAGAAAGCAAAGCAAAGCTTGTGGGAGACAGCACAGTACATGTATTCAGGAACAGACTCGCACATATCTAGGTCTGCATTTTGTCTTCCTGTCTTTCTTACTATTGACTTTGGACAAGTTCTTTATTTTTCTGAGCTTTAATTGTATTTCTGTAAATTTAGGGAAAAGTACCTTATATATGGGGTTATAGTGAACGTTAAAGGAGATAACGTAGGTAAAACATTTAGCACAGTGCCTGACTTATAATCGCTCAAATATAATGGCCATTATTATTATCTGGTCTTTAGTAGTATTCAGTTCTTGCCTCTGTCAACAATCTTTTCCTTAGACTTTAAGCTTCTGCTTCTTTTTATTTAAAGACTATTTTTTGGTTCACAGCAAAATTGAGATGAAGGTACAGAGATTTCTCATATACCCCCATCCTCACACAAACATGGCCTCTTCCCTTATTAACATCCCCAAGGGTAGTATGTGTGTTACAACTGGTAAACCGGTGAACTTATATTGATGCATTGCCATCACACAAAATCCATAGTTTACATTAGGGTTCACTCTTGGTATTGTACATTCTATAGGTTTAGACATATATAATAACCAATATCCACTATTACAGTATCTTACAGAGTATTTTCACTGCCTAAAAATCTTCTGTGAAGCTTCTTTTTTTTTTAAAAAAAAAAAAAACAGCTTTTATTGAGATATAATTCACATACCATATAATTCACCTATTTAAAGTTTACAATTCAATGGTTTTTAATATATTCAAAGAGTCATCCATAATCTAATTTTAGAATATTTTCCTCACTCTCAAAAGAAAATCCACATCCATTAGCAGCACTCTCTATTCCTCTTTCATCTCTTCCCTACATCCACTTCTAGGTAACCACAAATCTATTTTCTGTCTCTATAGATTTACCTATTCTGAACAGTTCATATAAATGTAATCATGTAATATGTGATCTTTTGTGACTAGCTTCTTTCATTTAGCATGTTTTCAAAGTTCATCCATGTTGAAGCATTGTGTCAGTACTTTGTTCCTTTGTATTACTGAATGACATTCCATCGTATAGACATATCACACTTTATCCATTCACTTTTGAAAGACATCTGAGTTGTTTCCATTTTTTGCTATTACAAATAGTGACACCATGAACATTTACATACGAGTTTCTGTGAGAACATATGTTTTCTTCTTTTTTTTTTTTTTGAGACGGAGTCTCCCTGTGTCTCCCAGGCTGGAGTGCAGTGGCGTGATCTGGGCTCGCTGCAAGCTCCGCCTCCCGGGTTCACGCCATTCTCCCGCCTCAGCCTCCCAAGTAGCTGGGACTACAGGCGCCCGCCACCACGCCCGGCTAGTTGGTTTTTTTTTTTTTTTTTTTTTTTTTGTATTTTTTTAGTAGAGACGGCGTTTCACCATGTTAGCCAGGATAGTCTCGATCTCCTGACCTCGTGATCCACCCGCCTCGGCCTCCCAAAGTGCTGGGATTACAGGCTTGAGCCACCGCGCCCGGCCTTCTTTGGGGTATATACATAGGAGTGGAATTTCTGGATATTATGACAGCCTGTCAACCTTTAGAGGCACTGGCAGATTGTGAGCCAAAGAGGCATTTTGTGTTTCCACAAACACCCTATGAGTGCTCCAGTTTCTCCATTCTCTCCAATACTTGTTACAATCTGTCTTTTTTATTATAGCCATCCTAGTGGGTATGAAATGGTATCATATTGTGGTATTGATGTGCCTTTCCCAAATGGCTAAAGATGTTCAGCATATCTCCTTTGGAGCAATGTCTAAAATCCTTTGGGTATTTTGATTTTTTTATTAGACAGCGTCTCGCTCTGTTGCCGAGTCTGGAGCTCAGTAGCATGATCATACCTCACTGCAGCTCCTGACTCCTGGGCTCAAGCCATCCTCCTGCCTCAGCCTCCAAGTAGCTGGGAACACAGACACATGGCACCATCCCTGGCTAATTTTTTAAAATCTTTGGTAGAGACAGGATCTCTCTATGTTGCCCAAGCTGGTCTCGAAATCCTGGGCTCAAGTGATCCTCCTGCCTCAGCCTCCCAAAGTGTTGGGATTACAGGAGTGAGCCACCATACTTTGCCAAGTATTTTGAATTTTAAGAGTTTTACACATACTCTAGCTACAAGTCCCTTATCAGATATATAATTTACAAACATTTTCTTCTGCTCTGTGGGCTCTCATTTCACTCTTTTGATGGTATTGCTTATAGCACAAAAGTTTTTAAAGCTTCTTTTAAGTATAACTTATGGAAGTTTATATTTCAGCAGTTATCTCCTAAATAATATTCATGCTGGTAGACTTTCAGTGGAAGACTTGGCCTTGTTCTTCATGGACAAAAATGTGGCCCTCAGTATGTAAAAATCCTCTAATTATAACCTTCCCGTCACATAGCTGTTGACCTACATTGGCATCTACCCTTACCTGCTTTCACTACCCATTCTCTTGAAATAAAAAGAGCTTATTCTAGTCAATACCAACACTCCAGCTGGGTTCTTGATCTCGTCCTCTCTCTATTCTCCCAGGACATTCCTCTGTCACTTAATCTCTCTGTTTCCTAGATCTTTAACATCTCTCTCAGCCTGTGAGACAGTTTGCCTTACTCCTTCCCATTTTGGAAAAAAAAAAAAACTTGTCTTGATCTGCATCCTCCAACTATACATCTCTAGTCTTGTTCTCTACCCTGCACTTCACTTGGATGCCCTACAGATATATTTCAATTCAACACGTCCAGAATTAAATTCCCCTCCTCACCCCACATCCGTTCTACTTCCAGTATTTCCGTTTGTAGATAATGGCACCATCATCCATCACTTACCCAAATCAAACCCTCTCTCCCCTGTACCCACCTTCTAGAATCAATAAATCATGTTGGCTTGATGCGTTTTACCTCCCAGGTATATCATACAGTCTGCATCTCACTATTGTACATAAATGCCTTTAGTTTAGTTTCTTAGCATCTCTCCCCTGAATTATTGTATAGACCTGTAACTTATCTTTATTATTGTATAGACCTGTAACTTATCTTTATTATTGTATAGACCTCTAACTTATCTTTCTACCTCCAATTCTGCCACCATTAAGGTTCATTCTCCTTAATATACCAAGAGCAACATAAACAAAACCTGGTATGTTTTAGCATTTGAATAGGAGATGGTGATTGTCACCTCATTAGGTAATGTACATCACTGGTTATGTGACTTTTGATAACTCATCTTCAGTCTCTGGCTCCTCATTTGTTAAATAAAAAAAAAATGACAGCACTTAGTCTTAGAGACATTGTGAGAATCGAGTGGGACAATATTTGGCATACTAGGTGTACAACAAATGGGGGCCCTTACTTACATGACAGTGGGACCAGGTCATCTCCTGGGGCTCCCCTGTGTCTACAGAGAATATTAGATATGTCAGCTGCAGGAAGCCAGACTTAAAGTCAGGAACTCTTTGGGAAGCTCTTGAGAACAAGGACACTGGTTTCTTTCCCTATAACTTGGGATTTGTAAAAATTAGAAGAAATAATAAAGACAAAGTACCTAACCGGGTGGCTGGTAAATAATAAGCATGGGATGAAAAATAGAAAATAAGCAGCAACATGGCCAAGAAGAAATAACTATGCTAAGAAACTGGTTCCTCTTTTGGTTTAAGCATTGTCCATTACTCGTTTGCCAGAATTTGTCTATTCTAGACAAAAGTGTGCTTTTGTTGTTAGTGGTGCTGCTGGTGGTGAAGTTCTGTTGTTTTACAGGGAAGATAGCAGTGAAATAACAGGGTGATCCAAGACGTCTGTTTTTCAACTCTAGCAGCAGTTAGTTTTCCCGGATGTTCAAAATCTGTGTTCAACAGATGAAGTTCTATTGACCTTGAGTGTTCAGAGATCAGTTCAGCTTTCCAATCATGGTACCTCTTTTTTCTTGCTGTGTGCAGGCTGGCACTGATCTCAGTTTATCCTTTGAGATTCAGCAGAAGATCCCAATGGAGGAGGATGATACCCAGAGAGAGGTGCCCAAGGAAGATGGAGTTGGTGATGTGCAACATTTCGGTGAGAACTTTATTGTCAGAGGTTTTCAGTACCTATTTACAAGTTCTTACTCCATCATACATATTGAGAATGAGCTGGCATTTTCAAGTAAAAACCCAGGAGTCCAGCAATCACTGGGGAAGAAAGCCTGAGGTTGGCAATTCTTACCCAGAACTCTGGTCACCTGCTTGTTCACAGGTCACCGTATCTTACTTCACTGAAGACATATACTGAGGTTTTATTTAAGCCAGATGCTGAAGGATGGGAAGACCCAAGCAGCTGGTGTGGAGGTCTTTCCCAGTGACTCATCAGTCACTCAGAAATCAAAGCCTGCACAAGAAAGGGTGGGATGGGATGCATAGAGAAAGACACCAAGCCTTTAGACTCTAGCAGAGCAGCTGATATTGACATCTCTAAGCAGGGAGGAGGCTCCAACACAACTACTCCCAATTCACAGGGTTTGCGGTTCTGGTTGAAATCTTTGCAAAGGTTTCCTCTGGCACTCAAACAGAATAAATAGGCTTATACAGTGTATATATTCCTCATTATTTTTTATTATGCCTCAGATGATCAAGTAACCAGACAGCTGAGGGATAAGCTTGGTTACCTAGTTTCAGCCAATCTCATTAGTATTTCCTTCTGACCAGCTGACCAGCTCTGTATTGCAAAGTCTTCTTGTGTTAAGGGAGGGCGATTCCAAACCAGATTTAATTTTTCATTTACTCATCGTGCTAAGTTCTAGACACAAGAAGTTAAAATAGAAAAATCAGTGTTAGGGCTCTCCAGAGAAACAGAACCAATAGAACACACACACACACACACACACACACACACACAGAGAGAGAGAGAGAGAGAGAGAGACAAAGAGAGATTTTAAAGAATTATCTTACTAAGTTGCTCTATTGTGGGGCTGGCTGGGAATTCTGCAATCAGTTGGGAATGTATATCTTGAGCAGACACGGAAAATAAAACAGAAACATTGCAATATGATGATGTGAAATACTTTGACATCTAACCAAAACCAGTCATGGAGTTGGAGAAAGCTTTCTGGAGAGGGTGATTTCTGAAGCAACTATTGCTCAGTGAATTGTGGTTATGAAGAAAGAGATAAATGAATGTGACTCATGTGAATAACTGCAGGCAGTTTACTGTGACTGGAACGCTCCCTCCTTGCAGGAAGAGGAGGAAGGAATTGGCAAGCTATTAGGTGGGGAAATAACCTGGAGAAACCAGGTGACATTTTTTGTTTGTTTGTTTATTTGTTTTCGTGCTAATCTGAAGATTCCAGATTTATTTTATCCTAAAGGCTTTGAGAAGTTATTGAAGAATTCTAAGCATTGGAGTGATGAGATTAGAGTTTTGGTAAAGACCAATTTATGTAATTATTTAACAAATATTTAATAGTGTCTGCCAGGTATGAAGTTCTGTTAGAGGCACTGGAAATATGACAATGAACAAGACAGAAAGATCCTGGTCCTCATACAGCTTAGAATTGTGTGCGGGAGATTAGGGGAAAAAAGATTAATAAAAGAACTTAAAATTTTAAGTACTGTTATTGAGGCTTGATTTAGGAGCTTATTACAATTCCAATATACTCCCATCCCATCTCACCTGGCCATCACATCCTGCTATAAGTGGAAGATTTAAATACTGAGTATTACTCAGCAACTGCCCTATACCCCATCCCATCTCATGGCCAAATGCACAGTCTTGGATTTGATACTTCTAGACCCTCTTTCCAAAATGTGGATCTTAGCTTTTTCTTTAGGCTCTGCATCTTCCATTTCCTTGGGAGAGCCTTACTTCCTGCACACCCAATGTCCCTTTAGCCCTGGGACTAATGAGGTTCCATCTTCTCTTGACTTGTTCCTGGCCCTCTCTAAAAGTGGGGAAATACCAGGTAGTAAATGAAGGCAAGGGGATGAAGAGTACTATTGACAGATGTTTAAGAGGTAAAAATTATACGATTTGGCAATGGATTGGTAATAGTGGTTGAGGAAGAATTGAGGGATTGAAGAAGTTTTCCAGTAAGGGAGTTGGATGACTGGATCTAAGAGGGTGTCCTTTACTTAACTGTAGACTACAATTAAGAAGGAGGGCTTGGGCACGCCTGTAATTCCAACACTTTGGGAGGCTGAGGTGGGCAAATCACTTAAGGTCAGAAGTTCAATATCAACCTGGCCAACATGGAGAAACCCCATCTCTACTAAAAATACAAACATTTGCCTGGCATGGCGGCACGTGCCTGTAGTCCCAGCTACTTGGGAGGCTGAGGCAGGGGGAATCATTTGAACCTAGGAGGTGGAGGTTGCAGTGAGCCGAGATTGTGCCGCTGCACTCCAGCCTAGGCAACAGAGTGAAACTCCGTCGCAAAAAAAAAAGAAAAAAAAAAAAAAAAAAAGAAGGAGGGCTGAGGGGTGCATGTGAGGGAAGGTGATAATGATGTAATGATTAGGACGTGTTAAGTCTGCTCTGCCCAAGGGATACTCCTGTGTAGGTAAACAGTATGTGACCCTCATCTTCCCCCATGTACATTCCTAAACCTTCCTTCCTTCTTGTACTGAGGATTGTGGAAGTTGGAATGAAAAACAAAGGACTGATATTTCCAGTAGGATCAAAGCATTCAACAAAGTAATTGAGAATCTATCATAAAATGCTAACAGCCCATGAGAGATAAAACTTTCTTTTGAGAACTAATTACCAGTGAATTATTCATCAAGGGTAATGTTGCCTCCCGCCACTAGGGACCCTTCATAATTGCCTCTGTAAGGAATTTTCCACCTGGATAGTCACTTTGATAACTTCTGCAGGACACAACTAGCTTTTGCAACAGGAAAACAATAAACCACATCAGAGCTTGTCTTGATTACATTGCTCATCAATGCTCCGCAGACTAGAGGAGTAAAAAGCATAAGTGCTTTGGTGCTTTGACTCCCCCAACCAGCACTCCAGTTGTTGAGGGATCTCAGACCTTATCTGGGGTTTTTGTTGAAGAAACAGAGGAACAGCCCCAGAAAGCTCTGCCAACAGGCTTGGGGTGTGGGGAGAAAAATACTCCCTTTAGACATACACAGTCATGCACTGCATAATGTTTCAATCAGTGATGGACAACATGTACAACAGTGGTCCTGTAAGATTATAATGGAGCTGAAAAATGTCTTATTATCTGGTGACATGGGTATGGTAGCACAACACCTTACCTTTTCTGTGTTGAGATGTTTAGATACACAAATATTTACTATTATATTACAGTTGCCTACAGTATTCAGTATAGTAGCATTCTATATAGCCTTGTAACCTAGGAATAGGCTACACCATTCTTATGGCTATGCCATATAGACTGGGTGGGTGTGTAGTAGACTATGCCACCTAGCTTTGTGTAAGTGGACTCTATGATGTTTGCACAATGACAAAATTACCTAACAATGCATTTCTCAGAACATAGCCCTAGCCTCAAGCAATGCATGACTTTCCTCTTGTGAATTGATGGGTTGCTAAGCCTTTTATAAAGCTAACTTTAATATTAACATTGAAGATACAGTGAATCCATATACTCATGTTAAATTTCTGGAGATTTCTTTCTTTTTTTTTTTTTTTTTTTTTTTTTTGAGATAGGGTCTCACTCTATTGCCTAGGCTGGAATGCAGTGATGGAATCATAGCTCACTGCAGCCTTGAATTCTTGGGCTTAGTTGATCCTCCTGCCTTAGTCTCCAGAGTAAGGAGTATAGGCCCATGCCACCATGCCTGGATAATTGAAAAAAAATTTTTTTTTAGAGAAGGGATTTTGCTATGTTGCCTAGGCTGGTCTCAAACTCCTGGGCTCAAATGATCCTTCCACCTTGGCCTCCCAAAGCGCTGGGATTCCAGGCATGAGCCACTGTGCCAGGCCAAAGTTCTGAAAATTCTTATGTCAAGTTCGTAAATATAATACTAATACCTTAGGAATCAACCTCTGGAAATCATCAATAAGAGAATGACCTTTTAAATAGAGCTTCTTTTGTTTTCCATTTGAATAGCACAGCAAGTGAATTTTGATCATCTTCTTTAGGAATATTTGTAACTCAGAAATTCTTGGTTCTTGTCATTATGCAAAATAGACACTAGCACATGTATTTTATAGCAGTGCAATTCACAATTGCCAAGATGTGGAACCAACCTAAGTGCCTATCAACTAATGAGTGGATAAAGAAAATGTGGTATAGATACACCATGGAATACTATTCAGCCATTAAACGGCATGAAATAATGTCTTTTCCAGCAACTTAGATGGAGCTGGAGGCCATTATTCTAAGTGAAATAACAGGAGTGGAAAACCGAAAACCGTATGTTCTCACTTATAAGTGGGAGTTAAGCTATGGGTACACAAAGGCATACAGAGTGACATAACGGACTTTAGAGACTCAAAGGGAGAAGGTGGGGGGCGGGGCTAGGGATACAAAACTACACATTAGGTAAATGTACACTACCTGCATGATGGGTGCACTAAAATATCAAAATTCATCACTATATTATTCATTTATGTAACAAAAAACTACTTGTACCTAAAAAGCTATTGAAATTTTAAAAATTTAAAAAGAAATTCTTGGTTCTTGAGGATAGTCATAAATTCAAATGAGACTAAAATAACCATACTAAGATGAAGCAGGCGGATCCCTTTAGCCTAGGAGCTTAAGACCAGCCTGGACAATGTAGCGAGACCCCATCTCTACAAAGAATTTTTAAAATATGGGTGTGGTGGCATGCACTTGTGGTCCTAGTTACTTGGGAGGCTGAGGCACGAGGATGGCTTGAGTCCAGGTTTCACGTTACAATCACCTATAATTACCCCACTATACTCCAGCCTGGGCAACAGAACAAGACCTTGTCTTTAAAGTAAATACATAAATAAAGGAACTATGCTAGTCATAACATCACCATCTGTATCTCAGAAATAAATGCTTCAAACAACCATTTAGAATTTATTGAGCACTAACATAAATCTCCAGTCAGAGTTGAGTGCTATAAAATAATGTTTTTGGT